CTTATTCCACTGAGCCATCTCCCCGGCCCCCTATCCATATATTCTTTACAACATGGGTGCATTCAGTGCCTCTCACTGCCCGTGAGGGATAGTTACAGGACTCCTGTCAGGTTGAATCCCAGGATGCTCAAGCCCCTATATGAAATGGCGCAGGCTTTGCGTGTACTTCTCACATCCTCCCACATTCACTTCAGTTCATTTTTAGATTACTTATAAACTTATGCAGTGTAAATGAACATGACTTAAGTAGTTGTTATCTGTACTGTTTTCATGACAAGGCAAAAAATACATACATATTCTGAACAGAGGCAATATTTTTAAAGAATATTTTCAAATATTTTTATCTGGGGTTGGCTGAACCCAAAGGTAAGGAATCTGGGGACACAGAGAGCTGACTGTGTAGTATACACATGCTGCTAACATACTTCACTTTAGTTTGGGCCTCCTATTCACAAGAATACATGTATTTAACTTTCCATAACATGATTATTTCAGAATGTCAGGAACTGTTTTTAATTTGCTGACTTCAAAATTCCATGAATATTTTCTAGAACTAAACACAGTCTGAATGTTCAATAAATGTTAATCAGTTTTGTAATAATTCCTAAAATAATTCCTTCTTCTAGCTTCTAGGAGAGAAACATACAACCCAGAGACCCACACCCACTTGTCCACTCACCGGCTGCTGTGGATACAGGCCAGGCTGGTGTGCTCCATAAGGTGGCTGTCCTGCAGGAGGACCTTGGCCTGGATACTGCTGCCCATAAGGTTCATGCCTAGAACAAGGCATTCAAAGAAAACTTATTTCAGAGGATTCCAGGCAAACAGGGACATGAACAATCCATTTCTGGAAACTCTACCCCACCGGCTTTGTCTTTTCTTCACCATATATGGCTGCTTACAGGCACTCCCTGAGAGGCAGCTGCACTGGAACTCCTAGTGAGAGGGATGGGAACACCCTTCGGGAGTGGTGCCAAACTCCTGGGTCGGGCTGTTGGTTAATAGGTGTCAGAGGAATACCGGTTGAACAGGCAGGCACCCTGTGAGCACTTGTCTAAGCCTTTGGCCTCTGCCTTTGAGGCAGAAGCCCCACCTATCCAGTACAGTTTACTGTACCGAGTGCCACACAAGGCTGCCAGGTGAGGCACTGATGAAAGCAATAAGCAAAGGAATCTAGGACTCAAAAGAAGTATTTCTAGAAGTACCAGAACACGGAAAATGTTTCTCCTTTTAACATTGAAGTTTTTACTAATTCTAATGTTGCCAAGTTAGCTAATAATTATATATACACAAGTACAAATTTCAAAGTTCTATGACTGAAAAGGCTACAGAATAGAAAAGGAGCAATGATTCAAGTATGCTCCTATAAAATTTTAACATAGAAGTGAATAATAAAAAAACTGTAAAAAAAGAAAAGGAAAGAAAAAGCCAGGCATGGTGGTACATATCTGCAACCCAAGCCCTTGGGAGGCTGAGGCAGGAGGATTGTCTTGAGTTTAAGGCCAGCCTGAGGTACATAGCAAGACTGTCTCAGAAAACAAACACCAAGGAAAAACAAGAAAAATAAGGAAAAACTGAACAATACAGCTGCCTTTTTCACTGCTACTATATTGAGAAATCATAAATAGTATCAAAACTACTGTAGTTTTGGGCTGGGGATGTAGTTCAATGGCAGAGCCCCTGTCTAGTATGTGTGAGGCCCTGGTTTGTTCCAGCACTGTGCGCATGTACACATACACACCCACAGAGAAGTATGTTTTCAATGGCAACAGATTAGGAATTATAAAAGACAAACTAGTTAATTTAGCAATACAGAATCTTTTAAGAGACTAACTGGGTTAAATATATTCCTAATCTGACCAAGTAATAAGAAAGGAAATGAATTTTTAGAATATTATATACAAGACAGACACAGGGGAAATCTTTGCTAACTACCATGATTACTTAGAGGGAAGTTTATAGTTTAGAGGAAAGAAACAATATAATTGACATAAAAAAAATTTTAAGCTGAAGAAGTAACATCTCTCTGAAGACAAAATATAATGAGGTATATCTCTCTCTGATGTGGTACAACCAAAATAGCTTTTAAACCTAGGCCATGCAGTGCTTCAGGAAGCATTATAGGAGGGATAGAAAAGTAGATTTAATTCAGATCCTTTAAGAATACATGTCTCAGTGGAATAAGCGCTTCCTTGGCAA